TATATATATTATGGTTGTTATTAATAGTGAATAAATCTAAAGCTTTTGAGACTATTATTTTGTGTTATTTCATTTGTCATTAAGGGGGGTGGGGTGGGGGTGCCCTTTTTCAGTTTCAGCACATGCCCCTCAAAAGGTCTGTGCACGGCCCTGCTCTGAGCCCCAGGCGAAGTTCCCGCTGTCCAGTCTCAGCGCGCGGTATTTCTTATTGCCTCCCCGCACGCGCACTGTGTGAATACGACGGGGACCGATCTAAAAGGTTTACAAATAATTATTACAATTATTTATTTTTGTTCATTTTAATTTCTATACATTTTCATGTATTCTTTATGTAGCTTAATTAACAACATATTATATTAAACCACTTGCAATGTAGCCTGCGTCTCTTAGGAAATGACGCACTTATTCTGATGCTTATTTTTAGACGCTGGTCAACCAAAGTCTCGCACCTTTGTGTTGGCAGGAGGGCGACCCAGCTCATACTTCCTTTTCTTATGGTAGGGTTTCCTTTTCCCTCCTGTCTTACGACGCTTGTGCCAGTGATCCCTGGAGATAACCGAAGAGAACAGATATGAAAAACACAAACAAAGGAACTGACATTACATCGGAAATGGTCAATTACATGCACCTACGTCAAATGTCATTACTTTTAATGCCTAAAAAGAAATAATGTTCTGCTGTATTTGCAGGAAATAAGCTGAGCACGAACAGTAACTGCAATGCACCTGTCGCGGATATTGCGCAGCTTGATTTGAGTATATGGTTCAGTTAATAAATATGTGATTTTGACGACTGTGTTTGTAGTGCAAAACTAAAACCTGAAGAGCTCTTGACTAAATACAGCTTATTTCAGGGATACGCAGGAAGTAACGCAATCATGCCAGTCATAAGCTGTTTATTCACGTCAAACACTTAATATATATTATGTCTATACTGTGATTGTAAATTTAGGGTTCATAAAGTGTCGCAAAGGCGGAAGAAAGACCTGCGTTATTGAGGTTATTACGAAATGCTTAACCATTTCTGGGTGCCTTCGACTTTGCTAATTATCGCGAGAATTTGCGCGAGAACATCGTCTGAGGCAGCTGCGGTCAAGATACGTAAATAGTGCCATCTAGTGCACTTCGCTGTTGTTAATAGAAACACACAATTTATAAGACAGTACAAAAGCTGTTTTAAACCATGCAAAACGATAATGTTCCATCTTATTTAAAATGAAATTACAGTTCAATTTATTTCGGTTGATGTTCCAAAATGCAAAAAGGAATAATAAGAGATGTCACATCTTTATTGGATAAGTCATTTACAAACCAAATTAGATATGAGGTAAATGGTTTCACCAAATTTTCAGTCCTGATTACTAAACATAGCTGAGGCAGGACTACAATGAGAACAGCAATGGACAAATTAGTCTATCAAAAGACGGGCGAGTCCTCTGCTCATCATGTGGACCAACGCTGTTAAAACTTCTTGCTCTTCCTGGTTATGTAGCTCTGGAAGTAAAAGTTGCTGAAAAGTATAATGAGGCTGACGCAGTATGCGAACACAACTGCATTCATGGAATCAGGAAAATCACACTCGGTGAAGAGGTTGTATCCAGTGTGAATAGTCATCAAGACAAACTGGACCTATAATGACAAGTTGTTCAACAGTCCCGTTGATGTGTTATGCTTCTGTTTTTTTTATTCCTTTAAAAAATATTTTACAAAGTATCAACTGGCCATCTACTAAGAGGACATCTGTTTTGAAGTAATTTACAAAAAAAAATTTAACTTTGTGAAGCAAAAGGCTCTGATAGACTAAAAGTGTCTTTTCAAATGAGCAGATTACCAATGTGTGCTGTGCACTTACCAGCTGCAGTGAGGTGAGATAGCGTTTCCACCACAGATATTTCTGCATGTGAGGCCCCAGGGCCGCCAAGCCATAGTAAGAATACATCACTATATGAACAAAGGTGTTCAGCAGCCCGATAAAAAATGCTGAATGAATAGGCAAAAAGAGACAGTCAAAATAATGAAATACATGATATTCTGTTTTAAAAAATGCATGCATAACTGTTACATTTAATGGGTATAAAAAATACATAAAATCAAAGAGGGCTAGGAAACAGTGCATATTAACTGTAGTCATTGGAGGGAACTATGGTTTCAAATTACTAAATGAGTTAGTAACTGACTAGAATGTTAAAAAGTTTAGTCCTCAAGTTTATTTGTTCAGTGTTTTTTTTTTTTTTTACATGAATTTATATTACTATTGTTAATTATTTCATGTTTCTGTCTTACATTGACCTCCCGCCACAAATTTAACTCCTGCCCACCAGTTGAAGATCATAGTTCCGTGATGATACACATGTAGAAAAGTGAGCTGGCTGTTCTTTTTTCTTAGGATAAAAAAAACCTGAATGAGGAAATTGGGAAAGCATCTTTATTTGAACTGCATGTCTACAACGGGTGTAAATATCTGCAATAATCATGTTTGTTAAATGAATAAAACTTACTGTATCACTAAGCTCAATTACTTTAGAGAAGAAGAACCACCAGCACACACTGGCCATCTAAAAAGGTACAGTAACATTCAGGAAACAAATGCATCTTTATTGGAATGTAAAAATAATGATGACATCACAGGTATAGGTAATTTGATTATGATTTAGAAAACAGGAATTACTGATTATTAGTAAAGAACACTAGGCAGCTAAACAGAAAGCGCGACAGATGTAATCACCCTCATTCCTAGTGGGCTGGGGCTGTAGTCCACAGGTTGACACAGAAAACTGTAGTTTGCCAGCCAAGATGTAACGAAGAACTGTGGAAAGAAAAATAGATTTGAGATTTGATGACTAGGTTATTTTAACGTAAAACCTTGAAATAATTTGCACCTATATTGGACTGAACTAGAGTTATGTATGTATGAAATACATAATGTACCTCATGGAACATGTAAATGGACAAACCGACCATGGCAAAGTTGTACACAATAAGCACTGCTTTTATGTTCATTGGTTCCTTGTGTTTCATAAGCTTGGTTCCAATCCAAATAATACCAAGATAGCACAAAAATATACAGATGATCGGTACAGGAGAGTAGATTAGAAGCCATGGGTCCGTCCGCTTATCTGAAATACCATGACAGAAAACGCAAGGAGTTTGCATAACTGTGCACTTTACACATTATTATATTTATATTTTATGATGTAAAATTTTTATTTACTGATATTATTCAAATACTACCCCATGTAGATAGTACAGTAAAAGACAAGGTGTAAAATAAATCATGCTTATAAAATATGGGGGGGGGG